TTTCTTCCGAGTCTACCGATCTCGAGGGATCGAGAAAAGTTGACTTTTCATCTTTTATTGCTGAAGCCATCATTAGCAAACCAGGTGATCCGTTGTCTCAGAAGAATATCACCGTTCTAAGAGACACAGGAGCGTCACAATCACTCCTTTTGAAAAGTTCAATGGACATTACACCAGAGACGAACACCGGAAGGATTTCCATTATCCAGGGAGTGGGGACAAAATCTACTGTCGTCCCTCTACACAAGTTTGCCCTGAAACATCATCTCGTCGAAGGTGAAGTCATTTTAGGTGTGATAGATAGTATTCCTGTCCCAGGAGTACACCTACTTCTAGGGAATGACCTTGCGGGAAGCAAAGTATACCCCTGTACGGTTTCAGACCCTTTGTCAACAGTTCCAGATAATGATTATGAACTGTATCCTGCATGTGCGGTGACAAGAAGCCAGACCAAACAATTGGCTGACATCACGTCTGAACCACACCCGCCATCATCGTCAAGAAATTCGACTCTCAAACTGGAGTCTATGCTTCCAGAAAACACAAGTCTGGGCTTACCCCTGAGGATATCTCAGGAAGACATCATTAAAGCTCAACAAGTCGACGCGGAACTCAAAGCAACGGTCGAAAAATCTCTATCATCTGACGATGGAGAATATTTCTCCGAGAACGGCCTCTTCTTTCGTCGCGCTATACCAGTGAATGCCTCACCAGCCGAACCATGGTTGGGTAAAAACCAGCTGTGGGTCCCTCCACCTTATCGGCATGAAATACTTAAGCTGGCACATGACCATCCAATGTCAGCGCACCCAGGTGTCACTAAAACGACGGCGAAGATCAAAGAACTGTTCTTTTGGCCCAAAATGAGAAAAGATGTGTCGCGTTACTGCAGAAGTTGCACGAACTGTCAGTTGGCCGGAAAGCCAAACCAGACAATTCCTAAGGCCCCTTTGAGTCCGATTCCTGTATTAGAAGAACCTTTTTCTAAAATCGTCATGGACTGTGTAGGTCCCTTGCCTAAAACCAAGGCGGGCAACGAGTACCTACTTACCTTTATGTGTTCAAGTACCCGTTTTCCCGAGGCGATTCCCTTACGGAACATTAAGGCAAAGACTGTAGTCAGAGCCATGACCCGGTTCTTCACTACCTTTGGATTACCTAGAATCGTGCAAACAGATCAAGGCAGCAACTTCACCAGTCACCATTTTCAGGAAGCGCTAGCCAAGCTAGGCGTTACCCACATCACCAGCTCAGCCTACCACCCTCAGTCTCAAGGCGTACTTGAGAGGTTCCACCAAACCCTCAAAACCATGCTAAGAACGTTCGCTAATAGTAACACCCAATGGGATGAGACTGTTCCTTGGATTATTTTCGCCGCGAGGGACTGTGTCCAGGACTCTTTAGGCTACTCGCCTTTTCAACTTGTGTTTGGACATTCTGTCCGGGGTCCCCTGAAGCTGATACACGAACGTTGGACAGGTACCAGTGATCATCCAGTGGAAAACTTCGACGATTTTCACGTTCGACTGAAAGCCGTGTGCGAAATGGCTCACAAGAACTTAAGAAAGGCCCAAGTTAGAATGAAAGAACTGTATGATAAGAGTTCTTGTAAACGAACATTCAATCCAGGCGACAAAGTTCTTGTGCTAGTACCTAATCTGAACAATGCGTTGTCCTTGAGATATTGTGGACCCTTTACTGTGCATTCAAAATTAAGTGATTTGAACTATGTTGTCAATACGCCCGACAGAAGAAAGAAACAGACAGTGTATCATGTCAACTCACTGAAAAAATATTATGATAATTGTAACAATTTTCAATCCACAGCTAAAACTACTTTACCTGTATGTTCAAATGTTTCTGATGATGTGATACATGATAAATTGAAACCCCCAAAATTGGTAAATTCTTCCTTTTTAGATAATTTGAATGTCCACCTTATGCATTTGTCCACAGAGGAAAGCCATAGATTGTCTCAGTTATTTGAGACATTTCCCTCTATTTTTGGGGATGTCCCCAAAGAAGCGAAGGTTCCACCTCATGATGTAGACGTTGGTGACGCAAAACCCATTAAACAACACCCCTATAGAGTTAACCCGGAAAAAGCTGCTTTGATAAAAGATGAAATTGATTATATGCTCAAGAATGATATCATTGAGCCCAGTTTCAGCAACTGGAGTTCCCCATGTCTCCTAGTCCCGAAAGACGGTGGATCTTTCAGGTTTGTGACCGACTTTAGGAAGGTGAATGCGCTCACCAAAGCTGATTCCTATCCCTTACCTCGGATAGAGGACGTTATTGATAAAGTTGGTCAAGCTAAGATAATTTCCAAAATTGATTTACTTTCAGGATACTGGCAAATCCCCTTATCTGACCGTGCAAAAGAAATATCTGCTTTTGTAACCCCTAATGGTTTTTATAGATACAAACGCATGCCCTTTGGTATGCGAAATGCTGGTCAAACTTTCCAGAGGGTCATTAACTCTGTCATTGCTGACATAGACCAATGTGAGGCCTACATAGATGATATAGTTGTATTTTCTAATACTTTTGAAGAACATATTGTTCAATTGACTAACCTTTTTAGAAAATTGTCTGAAGTGAATTTTACTGTAAACTTACATAAAAGTGATTTCTGTAAAGCTTCAATTACCTATTTGGGTTATCAAGTGGGAACGAACCAAGTTCGGCCCATTGAAGTTAAAGTAGATGCTATTGTAAGGTTACCACCTCCCAAAAATTGTAAAGAGATCAAAAAGTTCCTTGGGATGGCTGGTTACTATAGGCGGTTCTGTCAAAACTTTTCAGCTATTGCTGAACCTCTTACTGCATTATTGAAAAAGGGTGTTGAATTTGAATGGTCCAATAAATGTCAAGAAGCTTTTTTAACCATTAAGTCATTTTTATCAAATGCTCCTGTTATGGCTGCACCAAATTTTAGCAAGCCCTTTAAACTTGCCATTGATGCTAGCAACTTAGCCATTGGCTCAGTCCTATTTCAAGAAGACAACATGGGAATTGACCATCCCATTGCCTTTTTTTCCAGGAAGTTAAATGAGAACCAAAAGAATTATTCTACTATTGAAAAAGAAGCTTTAGCTTTGGTTTTATCATTACAACATTTTGAAGTCTATGTCTCTTCTTCAACCAATCCAGTCAGAGTGTTTTCTGACCATGATCCCCTGAAATTTACCTCTAAGTTAGGACAGACAAATCAAAGAATATTGAGATGGTGCTTATATTTCCAAAATTTTAATCTGGAAATTTCACACATTAAGGGTAGTGATAATGTTGTGGCTGATTGTTTGTCAAGGATGTAAAATCTTGTTACACACATTGATCATGTGACACGCTTTGTGGTTCATTAGGACCATAAACAGGTTTTGTTTGAGTGTCACTCATATGAAAATGAGTGGTGTGAGTTAGAATTTTTCAAAATTCTAATCCTGTTGAATATTTTGTTTATTTTCAGGTGAACCTTAATTAAAGGTGGGTTTTGATTATATGTAATCTTTTATAAAAATATGTCTCATATGACTCAATTGATATTGTAGCTAGTCATTGAAATAAAGGTCTTACCCTGGCGGGTTTACCACCTTTAATATCCACATGGAAATATTGTAATACCCTTTTTTGAGGGATTTTGATGTATAATTACTTTTTGAAGGGTTACTCCCCTTTCACCAATTGTAAAAGTTGGAGTTACTTCCCTTTTATGTTCAGGGATATTTTCATCTGGTATTATGATTTTGATTGCCTACTACATTTGTAAAACATTTTTGTTATTTCATTGCCAGATTGGTTCCTTATGTATGTTCTTGTGGAACCTATCTGTCACTTCCAAAAAGGGAGGGGATGTGACCTACTTAGGTCGAGTCATTTTTATTTTGACATTGTATAGTTCCTTATATGGAATGATTGTGTAACACCTGGGGTTTTTCCATTGACTATTAAGGTGTTTGAGACATAGAAAATTTCCATTAAAATCTGATTGAATGATTCTGATCAGATGATTATCCCAACCAATGGCGACATGAGTTGAGGATAACCTCCCCTGTCACAGAAGTCTTTAATTGCCCCGCACACTCGCAACACGAGGCAGTTTATCTTGACCTGGCAGTCTACGAGGCCGTTTTACCTTGGTCAGGCAGCCGTCCACATTGTCCGGCTATAGACTCTGACCATTTGAACGTGAGAGTACTTAAGACCTGTGTGTGCCTTGCTTTCTTAAAGTGATTTAGTCTTCTAGTTTAATATTACTTGTCGCTCAGTAATTCTAGAAACTACAGCAGTGTTGTGTGGCCTGTAGCTGTTCTTTAGACAGTGTAGAAATCTGTGATAGTGTTTTTTCCTACATTGTGTAAGTTGGGTTTTTGATATTTTATACATTAAATATTTTATTTAGTTCAACCTTGTGTTCTGCCACTTCTGAGTTCGCTGATTAAAAGGTCGTATGTAGATTGGATGAGTGTTAATTACAATAGTATCACTAGCTTCCCTAGACATTAAATTCGAGCCCTAGTGGTCGTTGTGTTAAGTGTTCATCCACTTAGGCCGTAAGGCATTTGCATATGACCCCGAAAAAAGAATCCGGGGACGTTCTCCTTCTATTTGGCTGATAGATAGGTTAACGTTACAAGGTAGTCTACTGATGTACATTTTTCAGGTAGTCTACTGATGTACATTTTTCAGGTAGTCTACTGATGTACATTTTTCAGCTAGTCTACAGATGTACATTTTTCAGGTAGTCTACTGATGTACATTTTTCAGGTAGCCTACAGATGTACATTATTCAGGTAGCCTACAGATGTACATGTTTCAGGTAGCCTACAGATGTACATTTTTCAGGTAGTCTACTGATGTACATTTTTCAGGTAGTCTACTGATGTACATTTTTCAGGTAGTCTACTGATGTACATTTTTCAGGTAGTCTACTGATGTACATTTTTCAGTTTCTAAACATCTCCACCCATTTCTAAAAGGCAATAAATCAAACTGACTTGATTGGTTCAGTAGCTGTGTGAATAAAATCATTAGCAGCTCTCTGTATTGGCCAGGATGTCATCCATGGATTATCTTCATCTTTCAATATCTCATGGAACTTTCTCATTGCTTCAATCATGGTATTTTTATCTTCCTGTAGACAAAGAAGTATAATTCAAGAAAAAAATTTCTATCCCTATTTATACATGGCAATACAGAATTGCTGATACAAGTTGTTTTTTTTAATTTGTTTTTTTAGGGATTGGGAGAAGGTTATGGTTATTTTTGTTTGTAGAACTTTAAACATCATCTTGGTATTGCGGTACTAGTCCATGTGGTGAAAGTTAGACAGTTGTATGTGTTTCAAGTATAAACTGTGAACCATTGCATAGGATTTTTCTGATTATTTCATCTAAGTGTATTGTCCTGTGTTTTTAAGGTTAACAAGCATATGTTTAAGGGGAGTGGCAACCAAACCTTTAGTGGTAACAATAAAATTATTTACACAAGACAACAGAAGCTAACCTAAACAATCAACTGCTGTATTGTTCAAAATAAAGCTTACCTTAACATGTAAATTTATTTAAATCCCTATTAAAATGTAGACCTTATAGCTAAACAATTAAGCTAATAAACAGATAGGCATCACTTTATCACTGAACAAAGGTAGTCTAATTACTTAAAGAAATATATATAGGGTGGATTTGGGTAATCCATACTGGTGTGTAATTTGTACCACCCTCAAACCTTATGTATAGAAAATCATTCTATATGATGAGATCTATGTGCTGACTAAAAAGCAGTGGAATCGGGCATTAAAGAGAAGCCATAAGTTAGTTTTGTGTTTTGTCACTATTTGATGTAATATTAGGTTTTCTTCCTGACTGTGCTATGCAGTAGACGATACACTGCATATTTTGTTTTAAACATACTACGATGCTGACAAAATCATGCTACTTCATTAATAAAAACCTTTTGTTTGGTTAACTTTTCCAATTACAAACATGAAGCAAAAATTGTTTTTTAGTCAAGGTCAGATCAATTGTATCTTCATATCTTTTGTCCTGATATATTTTATCCTGATCTTTTGTCTGTGATATCATTTGTCCTGAGATCATATGTCTGTTAGATATTTTGTCTGAGATCATTTGTCCTGAGTATCATTTGTCATGGAAGCATACATATATATATATATATATATATATATATATATATATATATATATATATATATATATATATATATATATATATATATATATATATATATATATGATATACCTTGATATTAAGTTCTGTTTTTTCAGCTATGTCCTCTGATAGTTCAATAAGAATCTTTTGTTTAGTAGCCATAAATTTTAAACACAGGTTCATCATTCTCTTACTGTAAGCTTTTAACATTTTGGCCTTCCTGTAAAAAATATGTATTTTAAAAAACTCATAAGGGAAAGTATTAAGCATGATTGAACTTGACAACATAATCATCAGTATATTATTTCTCAAATGCTAAAAAAATATAACTGACAGTTATTTCTTTAAAAACACTGATTTTAAAAAACTGAGAGGAAAACATGAAGGGTTACATCAGCATGTTTGTTGTTGCTATTGTCTAGTTATCTGAATGGCTTAGTTGGGTTTAGGACAATTGCCTACTTATTGTAATGCCTCCCCCCTCCCCTTCCTTTTTTTGCTGAAAATTCCTATCAGATACAGAAATTAATAAACTCTACACTAATATAAATAGGGGATAATTGTTAGGTGGGGATTATTTAAGGTTTAAAATAATGTTGGGTGGGGGTTAATTTCAGTGGGGAGGGGGGAAGGAATAAACATGGTCAACTAACAGGAGTGTATTGTCCTTGTTCCTGACATGCTTAGTTGGCCATCACAAAAAGTAAATTTGAAGAAAAATCTCATTGTAATTCAAAAAATCCTTAATGCTAATAGTTGAAAATCAACATATTAGTTCTGTGTTAGAATATTTATATAATCTTTGGGAAAATGTGTGTGAAATGCATTCTACCAATATTAACCCAAATTTTCTATTATCTATGGTAATGATTGACAGCCCAATGATTGTCTCTCTTGTGTTAAATTATGTTAAAAAGAGGGGTTTAAATGTGTTACTATGTTTACATTTTTTTAAATTTATATTAATAGTGAAGTATTTATCTTACTTCATGCCCTCAATAATATAACAAATAGTCCTTTTCATGTAGTCAAAACAGCTCTCAATCTTTTCTTTCTCTTTCTTGTCCAACTTGTCAATCCCCACTGGCACCTCAAACTTTTCTATCAGTTCAAACACCTGATCAGCAATCTCAGCATGCTCCTGATGGTTGATCAAATATTCATAAAAAGCTATCATTGGTAAATAATGTAATGTAACTTCTATTTTACTTTGGGTCAGGAAAGTTGAATGGAAGGAGTCCCTGAGCCCACACAGCTCTAATGGGTACCTGACACGTTTGTAAACAATCCCATTACATTAATACCTAACTACAGCATGAAGGGTATTTTTTCCAAACATAATTTCTACCTTCCAGTTGATGGCTTTACTTTCACTAGCTATTGTATAGGTAGCCCTCATGGTAGATTCACATGGTCGTTTGAATAAAGGAACCAGAAGTTCAACCCATGCTCTTGTTAGTGATTTGTTACTAAAAAATATTTAAAAACAAATGTATATACATTTATATGATAGACACTTACAATAATCATATCATAGTGTCAATGCTTTTGAATTTTCCCTGCTAAACATATTATGATATTAAATATCTCTATACTGGAAAAGTTACACTTGAACCAATATTATGTAATTTGACAACACTTGATTGAGTGGAGGTCATATTTAACAAGATGAATATGTCTGTAGAACTATATACTTTGTGACCAGCAAAGAAAACTTACATATATACATATATATGATAGACACTAAAAATAATCATGGCATCATGTTAATATATGTATATATATATGTATGTATATATATATATATATGTATGTATGTATATATATATATATATGTATGTATATATATATATATATATATATATATATATATATATATATATATATATATATATATATATATATATATATATATATATTTTTTAAATTTATTTTTTTAATTAATTTATTTATATATTTATTTACTAGCCGTCCCAACCAGACCCTTCACTGGCCTTTGTGAAAAATGTCTCTTTAAAGGACCGTGAATTGTGTGTATATTAAGCAGCAAATACTCTAAACATAACTTTAAACCTAACCATAACCAACCACAACGACAACAAACACAAATACAAACATAAACACAACTGCAAACCACAAACAAACATAAACATAAAACAGTAACATAAATATAACCCAACCCTCACCACAAAATCAACCACAAACATAAACATATAAATAATTTAATGTTTAGCATTATCAATATTTATCTAATTTAACTTATACCTAGCATAAAGATTCTTCAAAGCATCATCAACTATGCTGTAAGTGCACCATTGTTGTACAAACTTCATGTCTATAACATCCAACATTTTAGCATATCTCTGGGTTATACTTTGAAAAGTTGATGCATTTTTCTGAAATAGCAATGAAATTTTGTATGATTTTTTAAAAAAACATAAGATGTAAAAAGTAACACACAATCAAGAAAAAATCTCAATTTTATTATCACATAAACTAATTTTTAAGCACTAATAATTAATGAGGAATCAAAAAAATATGTTTAAATTATTTTAGAGAGGTGAAACTAAGTTAAACTTACTGAATATTCTTTTTTTGGGGTGTTTCTAAAAAGTCTTGTTGCTTCGTTAAAAAACACTACTGCGTAATCCTTGTCACCTTTGTAGGAACATTTTGTTGCAGCTATAGCCAGATCAAAAGCTTCATTATAGAACTCTTCAACCAAACCTCGAGCTCTGTAGAAAACAAATTTAGTAATGTTCAAGCTGTGTATATTTTAAAATTAAAACTTAATGTTGTACAACTGAGAGAACTATATAAATATATTTTGTTTATTTTTAGTAAATTGGGCTTTGTTGCTTGGTATAATCATACTCATGTTGCTAGTCAAATTAACCGTCAACATAATTAATTATGCATAGGATGGCGAGGTCAGACGGTAGAGGGCATGAAATTCTGATCCCGGGCTTGAGTTCGCATGGATGTCCATGAGTCCACCTAGCTGTGAAGGGTACCTGACTCATGTTACGGAAAGTAAAGGTGGCTTCATATGCTGAGGTAACAGATGCAGATGAACTATACTTCATCTGCCCCATTGATTGCCAGGTCTGAAAAGGTAACTTATTTATTATCCAAATTCACCATGTGGCAGAGTACATCTGATCTATATGTGCTATCAATTAATTACCTGAACTGTCATTTTTGCGTAATTTTGTTTAGTCAACTATTACCTCTACAAATATGTTAACTTACCCTAATTTCTCCATAAATTTCCCTATAAAATCATCCATTTTATTGACAACATCTTTGTGAGGGTTGAAACTGCTGCTGCTAATCAGTTCACAGCATCTTTTTATATAGCTTTTAAGCAGGGGAAAATCTTCAACATACTACACAAGGATAGGGAAGAAACATATTTATATCTATTTAATATCATATTATTATTAATATGTTCAGCAACAATCAGCAGATGAAAATTCAAAAGACATTTATTGACAGTAAAAATTATTGTTAGTGTTTATCATGCTAAATAAATAATAAACTGTCATACAAAACAATATACCTTTCATAAAGAAGAATCATTAGGTCTATAGTTTGCCAAGTCCTCAGTGATCAATGCTCCTTCCCCCCCCCCCCCCCCCCCAATACATATTATTTATTTAGAATATTAATATTTATTTCATTTGATTAAAAAAAATATTTTTTAAAAATGGTAGGCCTAATCTAAAATGAGTTCTAAATTTAGGGGTCATTTGTAAATAACACCTTTCTTTTAAAAATGATTTCTACCTCCCTCCTCCCACACAAAGCCTGACCACCTAAAATGTAAAAATGACACACCTCAGCAGCCCCACCCACCTACCCACCCACAACTCAATAGGTGTTCATTTTGTCCCAATTTATTTAGCCCATTGTGCTTGGTCAACAATGAGTTTATTAATCAACATTTATTGCAATAAATATAGATGTATATTAATTCTATGCTATAGCTTTATATAAAGGCCCATTAGGAGTGTGACGTTGTTCATGGACGACCCCTTACATCGAATGGTTCATCGAGTGTGTCCATAATAAACTTTCCAGTTTCTGTTAGAATTCTGTAGTTGTTCGGATGGCAGTCCCAGCAGTCGAGATACAGGAACACTACCAGATCTAGCAAAATTTTGATCTCACTCTTTATTTGGGCTTCACTAAGGACACACAAAAAGAAAGTTTGAAATGAATTATTATAGTTCTATCTAATTATCGTGCATTTACTGTCTGCTTTTTTTAAATACTTATATTTTTATGCATTAGGTATTTCTGGGGAGGGTTCATGGGAGGAAGAACTATGAATCTGCAACCAGTGTTTCTTCCAGACGTTTTTTCCGGGGGGGGGGGGGGGGGGGGCGCACTTGAAATCATCGTTAAAAGTATATATTTTCTATATAAATTCCATTTCGTTGGGGGGGGGGGGGGGGGGCGGTAGACTTTCTTCGGGGTGGCTCCGGCCAGAAATTCACAAGAGTTAGTTAATAGTTAACAAGTAGGCCTAACTGTTCAAACCTTAGACGGTAATTTATAGGCCTTATACTATACACTGAACTCTTTCCAAACTAAGTGCCTGCGAAGGATAAACGGCATAAATACCATCTCTAATGATAGATTACTAGGAGAAATTGAAATGGAAGACGTTCCCGAAATAATCGAAAAAAAGATGGCGCTGGGTGGGTTACTTTTAAGAATTATTCCAGAAGATATTACAGGAATGGCACTTCACTGGACGCCTCAAGGAAAAAGGAAACAGGGAAGGCCAAGGAAAACGTGACGGCACACGGCAGAAAAACAATTGACATAAGTAGTCTTGGGGACTGCCAAAGAACAGCCACAGACCGCAAAGGTAGAAAGAGCTTTCTGTGGCGGCCCTGTGCGTGGCACAAAAGGAAAAGATGATGATGCAGATAAGCCACATAATATTAACACGTAAAATTATCAAACAACCAACAGTAGGGACAAGTTAAAGTGGTCTCGAAATCTTATAGGAAAATGGAAGTTAGGTGTCAGGAAATAGTTCAAATAAAATAACCTAGCTCAAGATTCAGGGGAAATGGACCTACTTCATCGATGCATCGAAGTGTGTTCGTGTTGGATCGCAGTAGTTACTTGTATTTATTTTTATTAAATTATGATGGAGACTCGTATTTAAAATACAGAATACGACAGCTGTCTACTAGGTTTGTAAGCTGTAATACAGTCTAAGATAAAACCTTTCACTGCAAATTATGCATAAACTAACCTCAGTATTTCTGGAAGCTGCTTTAACAATCTCTGGTGTGCATAGTTATAATCTGTCTCTGTGGTTTTCTTGTCTATTTTGCTTTGGCAACACACAGTGTTAAATAGAGTGTCTAACTTGGCTTTATCCAACGTCTGGGGACACAAAGTTCACAACTCTGGCTGTAGAAATTTAGCCGAACTAAACTATAAGTTAAAACCTGTTATGTAACACTGATATGAATTCTAATGTGTGACTGCCAAGCAGCTCTGTCGATACTTTCCCACCTATTATAATGTCTTTTCGGAACTTAGCGTTGCGGCATATAATTTGAAATATATTATTTGATCAATATATATATATATATATATATATATATATATATATATATATATATATATATATATATATATATATATATATATATATATATATATATATATATGCCCATATAGCCTATATATATAGCCTATATATATAGCCTATATAAAGGCTAAATATATAATATATGCCTATATAATACTTGTGTGTATTTTGTATGTGTGTATACATTTTGTTTGTTTGCTTGTGTAGACCCTATTTGTGATATTGTTTGTTTCTCGCTTTATTTGCGTAACACACACACACACACACACACACACACACACACATGGTCGTTGGTCACACCTCATGGTCGAACCCCAGTTGTGCCGTCCAGGAACCTAGTCAGTAGTCAGACTTTATAAGCACGTACACATTCTTGGGCCACAGCAGAGGCGTAGCGAGGGGTGCGGACCGCACCGGGTGACACCATTTAGGCGGGTGACACCAAGGCAAAAAATAGTAAAATATATAGAGAAAAATTTGAGGGGAGGGTGCAAATCGAAAGTTTGAGGGGTGGGGTGCAAATCGAAAGTTCTAGGGGCAGGGGGGTGCACATCGAAAATTTGTCCCCGGGAAGAGTCGCTACGTCTCTGAGGGGGTGACACCATTAAGTGCCGCACCTGGTGACACCCGACCTCGCTACGCCTCTTATATATATATATATATATATATATATATATATATATATATATATATATATATATAATATTATTCATTATTATGTAGCAATATTTATTGTATTTATTAAAAAATAATTAATTAAGTATAATGTTCAAAAATATTAGATTTCTAAATATAGAAAATCAATCAGTATGAATTGAAAACATATATATGGGAGATAACTTATCTGTATACCCCAACAAGTGTTGCGATGTAGAGTGATTAAAATGTTGCATAATTTTAATAGAATTGACATTTTATTTTAAGTTTTATAATTCAGCGTATGCAATATTATTAAGTGTTGCTCTTTTTGTTATCCATAAGCGTTATATTATTGTTGAACTTAAAGTAAATGCAACCTTTACAATTTTGTAAAATGAAATTGAAGACATTCAAAGACTTACGATTAACTTCATTTCCTTAATGGGAGTTTCTGTTGTTTAAAAACTATTTTTTCGTACATTAACCAACACATTCACGACAACTAAATCCTCGTGATGTAAACACTCTTTAACTGTATTATTTCGCCCACTTCAACGCCTCTAGAATATCCTCTCTCTCTCTCTCTCTCTCTCTCTCTCTCTCTCTCTCTCTCTCAAGCTATAAACTACAACGACTCTACAATATTTGATACTACCAAATGAGAATCAATCACCGCCCAACCAAGAAGCAAGGCCAAAGAACTACGAGAAGGGATCATGTATTAACATGAAAAAGAAAACCAAGGGACCTGAAGTGTAAACAAATGTACAAGAAGTAGTAGGAAGGACAAGGAAAATTCCAATAATGTGCATACATTTGTATAAAATTGTATGTATGTATGTCCATGTAAACCGGCACTTGCTTCCTACCCTTGCTCGAGTTGGGAAGTAACAAGAGAGGAACTATATTTTTAAAAAAGAATCACATAATCTATTTGAGCTTTATGTATTTGACTGAAAAAAAACAACTGTGTACATTAAAAAAAATCATTAAAAAATGTTTTAATAGCAAGCTTTTGTGTAATAATGCACTAAAAAGTAGAACATTAATTATATACTACTATTTAAATTACTATAAAGAAAAGCGTGGGTCACGTTGTACCTATTAAATACCTTTACTAATATTTGGAAAAAAAAATAGTAAAATATATAGAGAAAAATTTGAGGGGGGGGGGGGGAGGGTGCAAATCGAAAGTTCGAGGGGCGGGGTGCAAACATTTGTCCCCGGGAAGAGTCGCTACGCCTCTGAGGGGGTGACACCATTAAGTGCCGCACCTGGTGACACCCGACCTCGCTACGCCACTGGGCTACAGTTAAACTTATGTAATACATGTGACATAGTTGAGAAAGGGGAGGGAGCATTTACACGAATAAATAAAAAGCTTGAAATATAAATTACCTGCGTGTAGCCCTTAAAGTCAAATTCTCGCTCATCAAGACAAAAATAAGCAATCTTAAGGTGAAGGATGGACATGCTGTTGTCGAGAAGACGCAACATAAAGGTAAAAAATGTCTGCTGGATCTCAGACAAGGGGACGCCATGGTTCTCTACCAGCAGGCTGGGGAGTAGAGCAACGTTTGTTGTCACAGCTGTTGGTGAACTTGTATCGCTTTGTGAGTACATTTTCATGAGCACTTAAAACCACAATTTTATGCTATAAAATCGTTATGATATATATATATATATATATATATATATATATATATATATATATATATATATATATATATATATATATACCGTTGGCAATAGTGGCCAATGTACCATATATAGTGTAATAGCAGGAGGAGAAACTAAAACGGACGCGCTGCTAAATACCGAAGTTACTTGAATGAATAGATTGACTTCCTCCAATATATGTCCATTTACCAGTATGTCTGCCACTATACCATTTGGGTTGTTGGTCATCACCTTTGTCCTGTCAGCATTGATTTCCACGCCATATATTGTTGATGTTCTGTCTAATCTTACATTGCCTGCTATGAGATCTATGTCATTAGCGAAGCATAGGTTGATAATAATCCGACCCTAGACTGAGCCGACACGGCATCAGTCTTGATGCTTACTGGGCAGATGTTGAAAAGATGGGAGAGAGCAAGCAGCCTTGCCTGACACCAATGGTTGTTGAAACCATTTTTTACAACTTTTTTTTTACTAAACTCAAAATTTCTTCATTCGTGTAACTTGATAGTAGGATGTCAATCCCATTCCTCCTCCCATGATCATACACACAAAATATGTGTAGTTTAAAAAATAAATTGTGTGAAATAAAGTCATTTTATAAATAATCGCAGTTTATTTACTATAAGGCGAACCTATTTATCAAATCATTTAAAAACAGACATTATGCTTATTAATACTAAATAAACGTAGACAATAGGCCTACATCATTGCTGAAATACAACTCTATACAACTATTCAACAAATTTATAAACCACAACAAAGAGGCGTAGTGAAGGGGGGGCGGGGGGACGGGACATATGTCCCCGGGCGCCGACCTTAGGGGGCGCCAACATGGGTTGGAAAAACAAATTGAAAGTTTGAGGGGGGTGCAAATTGAAAGTGTGAGGGGAGGGGGTGCAAATTGAAGGTTTGAGGGGAGGGGTTGCAAATCGAAAGTTTGTCCCCGGGGGGCCGGGAAGGGTCGCTACGCCTCTGCCTAACTCTAGGCCTACCATTTTTTTTCTAATCTAACTTTGACGATCACGTGATACACAAAAAACTCACGTGCCGAAGCGTACAATGTCTTCAAATGCTGCCCTGGCCTGCTCCCATCCTCTGGTCTGGTACTCCGGCTGCTGGCCAGAGGTCAGTTTGTCCCCCAGGGCATCCAGCACTTTCTTCAGGTCCTGAAACTCCCTCTTCTCCCCTTCGTTGCTGCCGTAGCACCAGTCGCTCATTTCGTTAGCGAACTGTCGGCGGATGTCTTCGTCATCGTGCACGAAGTTGCAGTTTTTTATCCTCACATCCATTTGACCTGCAGAATGTAAAGGGACGTCTATAAATGACATCGCGCACATAATTCAATGAAAGCTAACCACACGATTTTAAATATTTATTTCTTTAAAAATGGGACTAGCTTTGACAGCTCTATTCTCCTTTGTATATTGTGTGGCGGGGGTGGGGGTTGTAATCCTATGTTATAGAAGTACTAAAATTATATTTCGCATTGTACCAGAGTTGTAAAAAATATTTCATAGGGCTTCAATATACAGAGGTACAAATTGCAGAAAGTATTGCTTTTTATAATCAAATCAGCAACCTATCTAGAAGAGAAAACTCTGAAATTAAGCTACAGCTGCCTTTGCGAACTGTTCTTTAGTGGACACTAGCTATGGAAACTAATCCAGAATAAAAAGCAGGGTGATTCAACGGGCTATATTATGTATAATTATTACATAATGACACCGAATACGTAATTATGTTGGAGGGAATCACCTCCAAGATTACAATTAAGAAAGAAGAATGTATTAAATGTAATTAATGTCTCATTTTTTAAGGACTAAATGTTGTTTTTTTTTAACAATCGATCCGATGCGGACTTTGGCTTATATATAGGGCCGCGAGAAGCCATCCAACATGAAAGGGAACCTCTCTCGCCTACACACCGTCAGAAGTTTTTTATAACGTGCTGAATAAGGCCGCTGACTTTTGTGATATTGCTATTGAACTCCTGTGTGAAGTGAATATTTACTGGCTTTTACATCGGGATTGGCTGATATTGACATAGCATTTTGGCCTCAGAATAAACATGGATTGAATATTGAATGTGTGGTTGAAATAATGCCTTGTGCTGAATGCTTAATTTTTTAACGAGTTATTTGTAGATAGAATTAGCAAAATTTTGTGCTTGGAAAATCGTTGGCTATTGGCGCTTATAGAAGGCTGGAATATCGATGTTAAAATGCTTGCTAGCTTCACGTGGAAGTTATCTAGTACAATAACAAGGAAAGACAACTAGTACTCTAAATGGGACAGCCAGTACCATATCAATGGAGGCTAGCTAGTTTGTTCATGCAGTTATCGCTGCTCTTATACTAGAGTTACTCAAACTGAAACAAAATGCACAGAAATTGCACCGTAAAACGGGGGGGGGTCAATTATATTGGCACAGTCTTCAAATTTGGTGATCATTGGACATAGTCATTGTTTCAGATGTAATCTCCTTAAACAGCGATCATCATCATTTTCCGTTCGTGCCCAAGACACATGGGACAGATGAAGTAGAGTTGAACTACTTCAGAGAACTCGGCATATAAAAGGAGAGTGTGTTCAGCACTATCCCTGCCGCCTTTTTTCCCTCACGTGAGTGTATCCATCAGGGCTGTGTGGACTCGGGGACGCGTTCTACTGATTTGAACCCGGATTAGCTCTCTATCGCGATACTGTATTCGTATGGTCAATGTCACAGTGATGCTGTGTTCGTATGGTTAGAAATAATTTAATATAGTTATATCAAACAGTTTGTACAAAATGTTACCTGCAGTTGTTTTGTCCTATCAGCTCTAAGCAGTCTTGTTATGGTGAAAAGATAAACGTATTCCCTCTAATATTACACCCCATCAAAAAATAGAATAACACCTCATTTAATAAAACAATAAAGCGAAACCTCTCGACAGTCCGCCAATGTCTTCAGTTTCAAACGTCAAATCTGCTGTGTTGGACTCAGCAAATAGAGCGAGGTAGAAAAAATCGATCATTGCTAGCAGTGACTGCAGTTTTTTCACCAAACATATCGATCTTTATTCGATGGTTCGATAACGAACGAACCGTAGCGCAGTAATGAATGTACTCTCCGGGGGAGTGGGGTGGAGGAGTTCAACCTTGACCTCAGACTTAATGCACCTAGTACGGGAATTCCAGTTTAAAAAGTTGAGACTTAAAAATGAGGCAGACGCAGCAAACTTGAGACTTAATTTGGGGGGGGGGGGGAGACATCAGTAAGATAGGGGTAATTAGAGAACAGAGGAACAGAGCTTAAGGGGTCATGTAAAAATCTCTTGTGGGTGGCCTACGTCACACTGGGACGACAGGCTAGTATATATAGTAAATATAATTATATATATATATATATATATATATATATATATATATATATATATATAATTTTATATATATATATATATATATATAATTATATTATATATAATTATATATAATAATATTATATTTTATATATATTATAATTATATATATATATATATATATATATATATAATTATATATATATATATATATATATATATATATATATATAATTATATATATATATATATATATATATATATATATATATATATATATATATATATATATATATATATATATATATAATTTTATTGATTTATAGATTTATAGGCTAATTTGCTGGGTAGAACTGCGACCAGTTAGTTGGTAGGATATCGGAGACCACGGTACCTAAGAACGTTTACTGGCACACAAGACAAACAGTTTAAAATCAATATGTCCACGGCAAGTTGAGTGCTCAGAATATTTACACAAGCTGATATGAAGCCATTACAATAAGAGCAGAGCTCCTGAAAACTAGGCCGAGACACGACAAGCGAAATTTGGTGATCAAAGGCAAAGAACGTAAAGAGGAGGTAACTGGTGCGCAATAATTTTAATTGTTTTTGGTTCATGGGCCGATAACCACTGATACTCAATCGTACGCAGTTAGCCCATTTCATTTTTTTTTCTTACGTTCTTGTCACGACAATAAACGCTGTAGCTAGAAATCTGATTTACATTCGAATATGCCTTTATTTATATTTTCCTTCTATGAATAAAATTTAGTTTATACACTTGTACCGTCCACCATATTATTTTCATCAAAAGTCTGTATCTTTGTCAAAAATATTGCAGACAGAGAGAGAGTAGTGCGCACATGGGCTTTTATATATTAGGATGTTTATACGATTTCATGATAAGTTGTCTAATCTAGCGCCCCCCCCCCCCCGAAAATGTCAAGTGTCCCCCCCCCCCCCCCCGGAGAAAAAAGTCTGGAAGAAACACTGCTTGTAGTTTGTTCTTGGTTGGACAAAGGCTATGGAAGCATATCCAAAAAGAAAAGCAGGCTGAAATCTGAGTCAATGGCCTCAATGGAGCATAAAAAGTTGACATGTATACTTAATTGTGTTGGAGGGGGATTCCTTCCAACAATAAAATTAAGAACGAAGAAGAATTGGGGCAACATGTATATATATATTTTTGTTAAGCGCGACAACTCTTTTATACTGTCGACAGCATCATCCAAGCTTGGCTACTTCCCTTTAAGAGAGAATAATATCTGAATATGTGACAATGTGATGAGGGTATGTCATGCCACCCCCCTCCACAGACAATATAGAACGCAATATTAAAATCAAATATGAAATATATACTTTAATCATCGTCCACCCACACTATGTTAAATGGATGGGGCGAGTGGTGTGTGTGTGTGTGTGTGGAGGAGGGGGGGGGGTGACTATGAAGTAAAAACAATCGGTAAAATAAGTTTCCTTGTTAGAGGCATCTTATTTATTTAATAAAATGACATCAAGTTTCAAAGACTAGTTCTCTCTTTTTAATATTGTTTGAACGTATGGGAAAAAAATTCTACCTTCATTTTAAAACATATTAAAGAAAATAATACATAAATTGAAACGGGTTGGATTTATATGATGTAGTATTCCATTTTTAAAACAAGTTACGAGAAAGATTTCCGAATTATACCCTTGGTACTTCACAATGTAGATGGATGCTTTGGTGATACAGAACATAGTTTTAAAAAGTTCTAAGCTTGTTACCAAATATATACTGATATATGTGTATGTTGTCTGGTGACTACAGTTAGATCGGTTGTGTGATGACGGAGTTTTGTGTGTACGTGAAAGTGCTACGTGTAAACAATGTGTAGTGAGATTGTCTGACATTCGTGTATGTTCGATGGGTGTAGGACAGTGTCTAGTGCAAGGTTAACAAGTGCTGGTGTGTTTTGACATGTGGGTGGCTGAGCTAGTGTTCACTCGACGACCAATGGGAGATGGGCAAAGGGAAACAACTGGTGGCACGGACTGTGGAGGGAGGGGTGTGTGAAGGAGAATAGATTAAACTTAACACGCATGTCAAAACCTATGACATGGTGCGTTCAACAGCTATTTTACTTTTTATTTTTGATATGGGAAGTTTCTTAACGTGTGTTGGCTGTTGAAAAGACTTCCCAAGATAAACTAGCTCAACTGTATAGCTTTGCTGCCTTTGGTAGACATATTAAATTGTGTAAAGTTGACTGGATACTGTTGTGCATTCTGTGTGTAGACTCTGTGTGGGGATTATGATTTGTTCGTGGGATCAGCAAGGACTGTTTATTTCTGGACATTGCTTCTATGTAATCAATAGAACCCATCACCAAAAAAAACCAACAACATGAGAAAACACCATCAAGGCTCCATCAATTAGAGGACCCATTAGCTAGAGGTTCCATCAGCTACAGTACCCATCAGCTAGAGGTTCCACCAGCTAGAGGCCCCATCAGCTAGAGTATCCATCAGCTAGAGTATCCATCAACTAGAGGCCCCTTCAGCTAGAGGACCCATCAGCTAGACTACCCATAAGCTAGATCAACAAGATGATCAGACACAATGAAAATCAGTAAGTGCGTAGCGTGCGAGTATATGTATACAGTAAATAAAAACAACGTATTATAAACAAACTACATATCTCAGCATACAATTAAGACGTCATTATACCTCACAGCTTACCATTTGAACGTCATTACACATTTAGTATATAAGAAGGACGTCATTGCAAATCCCAGCACACATGTAGGACGTCATTACAGATTCCATCATACAATTAGGACGTCATTACACATTCCATCAAACCATCGGGACGTCATTGCACATTTTAGCATATAATTAGGACCTCATCACTTATTACAGCACACACGTAGGACGTCATTAGACATTCCAGTACATAATTAGGACGTCATTATATATCCCAGCATACAATTCAGACGTAATTACACCTCCAAGCTTACAAGTAGGACATCATTCCACATTCCAGCATAAATGTAAGTCAACCTTGCACCTCCCACTATACAATTAGCACGTCATTACACATTACATCATACAATTAGCACGTCATTACACATTACAGCATACAATTAGCACGTCATTACACATTACAGCATACAATTAGCACGTCATTACACATTACAGCATACAATTAGCACGTCATTACACATTACAGCATACAATTAGCACGTCATTACACATTACAGCATACAATTAGCACGTCATTACACATCCCAGCATACAATTAGGACGTCATTATACATCTTAGCATACAAATAGATGTTTGGTTTTAGACATTCCAGCATTTAATTAGAAAGATGTTACACGTCCCAGCATATATTTAGGACGTTATCAACATTCTACCATATAATTAGGACTTCATTACACCTCCCAGCTTATAAATAAGACATTACATATTCCTTCATACAATTAGAACGCCATTACATATTCAAGCATACAATTAGGACGTCATCACATATTACAACATACAACTAGGACGTCATTACACATTTAATAATATAAATATGACGTCATTATACAATCACGCATACATGTCGGATCATTAAACATTCTAGCATAAAATTAGTACCTCATTACACATCCCAGCATAAAATAAGAACATCATTAATATTCCAGCATACAGTTAGGATGTCATTACATATCCCAGCATATAAATGGGAAGCCATTACAACTTGCAGCATACTATTAGGACGTCATTACTACCGCCTGCAACCCACGTCCCAGTAAGACCTCACAAAACAGCTTTCCATATTTATTTATTTTAAATTGGATTTTTTAAAAATAAAATTATCTTTCTATCAATTGGTCTTTGATTAGGATCAACATTGAGTAAGACAGATCTGCTTTTATTTCGACTTAAAATAAAACATGTTAAATTTGTATTTATTCAATTCTACATTTTTTTAAACGCGAGAGTGGGACATCACAGTACTTGAACCATCTACCACTACTCATAACTGTTCGATCCCCACCCCCTTCCCCTTTTCCCTAATCCCGCTAGAAGCGTAGGCCATAAAATTAACAGGGGCAATAAAAATGTTTATTTTCTTTGTTAAGCGCAACAACTCTATTAATACTGTCGACAGCATCATCCAAGCTTGGTTATTTCCCCTTACGAGAGGATAATATCTGAATATGTGACATCCACCCCCCCCCCCCTTCCCCTCTCCCACCCCTCCACGGACAATATAGAACGCAATATTAAAATCAAATGTGAAATAAATAATTTAATCATCGTCCACCCACACTATTGTAAATGGATGGGGCGAGTGGTGTGTGTGTGTGGGGGGGGGGGGGGGGGTTGACTGAGATTTAAAAAAAACTGTAAAATAAGCTTTCTCGTTAGAAGCATCTTATTTATCTAATAAATTACAAGTTTTAAAGACTAGTTTTCTCTTTCTTTGTGAGTTGTTTAAGAAGCATGGTCACCATCATTTTAAAACATATCAAAGAAAAGAATACGTATAGAAACGCGTTGTATTTATGTGATGTAGTATAACATTTTTAAAACAAGTAACGAGAAAGATTTCCGAATTATACCTTAGGCAGGGGCGTCGTGAGGGG